AATCAGTCCTCTTTTGCCACACCCACTTGTCACATCCTTCCTTTCACAAATTGCTAGTAGTTCTCTCTTATGTTTAATACTATATTATTTATAACCAATAGAAAGCCAAGGTTTTAATCTGTAAAGTGGCTTGTTGTTTTATGTACAGATAATTTCTGTACAGAGGTTTTAGTGATTACTCAAATGAAATTTGACAATTTTCAGATGTAGAAAAGTATTTCTAATCTTATCGTAAAAATAACTTTGCATTTGGAGCAGTCAACACTTTGACTCCATTTATTTATGGAGACATTTTTAGTGAAAATGCTTCATTAAAAATTCTGATTTTTTTGTCTACAAAAGATTTGACACTTACTGAAAGCTTTCAAAACTACATGAAGATACACAGATCATATTAGAAGTTATAATCACCAACTATAAAAGGCTTATTCCCTTTGTCACTCTGCCGAGAATGCTTTCACACACCTTTTTTGGTAATTCTCAACAACATACATCATTCCTTAGCAACAAAATTCTCACCTGATTGTTCTTAGGCCATCTATGGTGTTTGTTGAATGCTCAATATTCATGTTGATTTGTTAGAAAGGTTTGTTTTTTATTAATTTTTTGGTAACCTCATTGATATAACAGCAAAATAATTTAATTCAAAAGTTTTTTGACATTGAGTTGTAGTCAAAAGCAAAATAAAAATTCCCAAAGTAGTGTTTCAGCTAAGTCTTACTTTACATTTATGTAGTAGGCCTAATGTTAAATTAGACTACAAATAGGCCTACTGTTACTAACATTATTGAGTCAGTATTTAAAAAGTTTTAAGTTGTGAATAAATGTTAATAAATATTCTTTTGGTATTTTAACACATATATTATCTACTTGACCTTAAAACATAAAGAAAAACAAATATTTATTATAACCAAATATATTTCATCCTTTGTACAGTTGAAAGAGTTGAAAATTTGTGTTGGAATTCTGTATTATGTTTTCTACTTCTTGACCTAGAATACAATGAAAAGGCTCAAGAGTGCTATTTAAGTCTCTTTCAGAGTGCACACATACTTTTGTTTATGGTAACATTTCATTTTTCTGTGTAGTTTTTACTAAAAATGTGGTGATTAAGGAATTACTTCGAGACTGATAAAATAAGTGAGGAATAGGTGTATATTGGAGGTACAGACAAATTCGTTTTAATTAAATTCTGTAATTTTCGTTAGTCAGTCAACAATGGTTTCCCATAATTTTTGATGAACGTTTATACTAGTATTAAAAACCAAAGGTCTATTTGGGGTCATAAACTTGTCTGATTCTCCCGAGCCCATAACAAGAGGGTTAAACTAACTATAATGATCTTAAAATATGTCTCCACTCAAAGAAAGCACACCTTAATTCAATGAGTAAAGTAGGTCTTTCTCTCTCTCTTCTTTTTTTTTCAACAAATGTCAAGTCAGCTGGCAAAAGATATTACAAGTCACTAATCATTTCAACCCAAAACCTATATGTTATTTCAATATCCTCATGAGCAAAATAGATGTTGTCCACCATAGTGAACAAAAAAATTTGAGGGACTTTCTGGACCATGTATTTGTGCTCAAACTGTATAAAAATCAAGTAAATGAAAATTTTAAAAATTCTTATGTAGTTACAGAAGGTATAAAACATATGGTATGCCTGCATATCACACTTTTCTTCCCTTCTATGTTTCTGGTTTATGTACAAAATACATACCTCAAAAAAAGTGGTCAGGGCTTCAGTCTGCTCAATTTAACCCCACCAACAGTGCTTCGAGTGCCATTGTTGTCTCTAGTTTGGCCCTCGTGGATACTCTGAGGTTTGCTTGAGTTCTCACCAGGCTCTGCCTAGCTTCGCCTAGCCTTTCCCACAGACACCAGACCTCCTCCTCATATCGTGACAGAGGAGTTGCCCTTTGCTTCAGGTGATCAGCTTCTAAGTTATAAAAGAGCCCAGACCTCCATCCCCTTGGCTGTCAAATCCTGACAATGACATTTTAGTGCCAGAATTTGCTCTAAAGTGGGATGAGTAGGACATTCCACTCTCAGCCCCTTGTGTGTTGTCTCCAGGGGTTGTGATTGATCGTTCCTCACTCACCATGGTGGTATAAATTTCCTAGGATTATCCTGACCTGTAAATTGAAAAAGGTTGATAACAGGAACTGTCAGACAAGCCACCTAGTTTTTCTGTATTGCCTACATCTGAAGGTTGCAACAGTGAGATCTTAGAGACCACCTCACCTCTTCTTCCTGAGACTTTGATGTCTCTCGGGAAAATCTTAGCACTGGAAAGCTTTTCTTTGGTTTTCAAATTTAATGGTCCAATTGAAGATGCTAACACATCTGTCATCTTCTCTTAGTTGTGCCACACCCTCATATCCAATTTCACTAGTAACTAGGCCCCTCTCTTGTTAATTTTTCACCCCTTTTTTAGTGTCAACAGTGGTACCAACTCCTGCTGTTGGACTGCCTAGAGGCTAGGCTCCTCAAGCTATGATAATGTTGAGTCTGATGATTTTCATGTTCCTTGCTTTAGAGGAAGTATTTGGTATCCTGGAGCAGTTGTGAGGCTTCATAAGTTGATAAGGAATCCATCTTCACAACAAAAAGAAAAGAAAGGCTTCACAAACAAGATTCAAGTTACAGTCAGAGTTGAAAATGAGAGACTGACCATGACTGGAAGTTGACCTTAAGTACTGAAAGGGTGGATTCAAATGCAAAAGTTGGCTGGGTTCTAATTGATAAAATGTTCAGAACAGTTATGGCATGAATTACAAGATTTATCCCACAGGTGGTGCCTTCCATCTCCCACATTATACTTACAGTCTGCATTCTCATGCTTTAAAACTGTATTTTGAAATGAATAACATAAAGAAAATATACATTAAAGCTGTCTGTGTACTAAAATATTTCAATTAGCATAACTGAAAACATTTAGGAGGAAAGCCAACTTGAACCTTGTATCATTAACGCAAGTGTATTTTTATCAATTTTTAGAAATCATTGTTTCTAAATGTGGCTGTCTAGGTGTTATGTAATTGCCTCTAACTCACAGAAATGTAAAAATATGTGGTAATCCATCTTCCTCTGGATCATTCATGAGATCATTTCAAAACTATTAAGATTGGGCATCATGAGGGGGAAGAGGGCAGCTGCAAGGTCTAGGTTGAGCTGCCCTTGCCTCTTAATCTCTCTCTATCAGCACAACATACTTTTTTGCACACAGCCACATTATGAGATTTATTTAAAACTCTGTACAGTAGTTATAGTATTTTGGCACTTGTGTGTATAAAGTTAAAATCATAAATAATTTTCAACGTTAAACTGGTACACAATTAAAAACATTTTTATTTAGGCCTATCTATGGCCTTCAAAAAGTTGACAACTCTACATGTTTCGACGTTACAACATCATCCTCAGGAGTCGAGTTGTAACGTCGAAACATGTAGGGTCTTCAACTTTTTGAAGGCCATAGATAGACCTAAATAAAATTTTTCTAATTGTGTACCAGTTTAACATTGGAAATTATTTATGATTTTATCTGTACAGTAGCACTAAGAATGGTAGAATTTTAACATTACTCTTAAAGAAAAACAGTGAGTTGATAAATGATTATTCAAACTGATATTAAAGATGATGAATAAAGTATGGTTGGAATACTATTATTATACACTCCTAATTCATGAAAGGATCTAAATATGGAATTTAGTGTTTAAAAATATAATAGGCCTAATAGTAATGTCTTTTGATGAGTATAATTAATTATAGTCATGCTTTGCCAATTTATGAAAGGTGTTCACATCATAACAATTGTTATTGTAACAGATGGCTTATATAAATAATCTTCCAACCACTACTGTGTTGGCAGTAGATATGACAAATATAACGTGATTGGAATACTATTATTATTATACACTCATAATTCTTAAAAATCCCTAGCAGACTGGATATAGAATGCAGTTTTAAAAATATAACAGACCTAATACATATCTATTATGATAAATATGATTAATTAAAGTGTAAATTGCTGTATATTGTTTAAAAATGTAAATGACTGCTCATTAGGTGAAATTCTGCTTTTTGGGGAAGTGTAAGCACTTAATTACTGTGTAAAGTGGAGATTTTGTTGCCTGTTGAATATATTATAAACTACTGCTTAGTGAGTAATGCGTTCATCTTGTTTTGTAGTATATGCTTGGTTGAATTTAGGGTAAAGTGTAAATTCTGTTGCTTAGTAAGTAAAGTAGCATTTACTTCTTACTGAGTAAAGTGTAAATATTGCTTCTTGTTTATTAGGTAAAGTTTAAGCTTTTGCTTTTTGGGGGATAAATTGTCATTTTTTTCTTCTGGGATTGAGGTAAAGTTTAAACTAATGTTTATTTGATGAAGTTCAAGCTCTGTTTCTCTTAGGGTAAAATACAAACACTTCTGTTTAAAAGATAGAATATGAACTGCTGTTTACTAGGTACAACATGAATTGTTGTTGATTCTGTGAAATGTATGCTTTTCAGCTAATGTCACAGTAAACAAAGTATACAACACTTCACATTTATTAATGAAAATAGAATAATTCATAAACTTTCAGCTGATATAAATAACTTATTTGTATCAAGGCTGTTAATTTTTTTGTTGCAACAGACAGTAGTTAGTAATAAGTTATCTATGGCTATGTAATCTCTGTTCTTACCATTGTGTTGTAAACTTATTTTACTGGCACCCTCCAGTGGCACAGCAGTATGTCTGCAGACTTAAAATGCTAGAAACTGGGTTTTGATACCCTTGGTTGGCAGAGCACAGATAGCCCAATGTGTAGTTTTGTGCTTAACTTCAAACAAACAAACATTTTACTGGCATTTCCATTTTTAGGCATTTTAGTGTAACATTTAATGCACAATTTTTAACAGTAATAAAGTATTTTGATATTTCTGTAAAATTTTACTACTTCTGTCCTTTTAGCTGTTGTAAACTTTTATCTCGTCTAATTTCTCCTATGTTCAGAGTATAAGTGCAGAAGAAACCGTGAAGGTAGGAAGTTATGTGGTTGCCAGAAACCTTAAGTTCCAACACAAAACTTGCTTAATTGCCACAGAGTTATCAATATTCACCACCTCATCAACTATTGCAGAGTTCCAAGAACTAAAAAGAAGCATAAAGGTAGGCACAAGCTGTAAAATATGTAAGAAATTTAAGTTGAATTTCTGATTATTGATTTTAAAAAATGACTACACAAAAATGTTACAGAAGTTAGGAATAAAAATGCATTATAAGGTAAATTTGGTTGTAGTAAAAAAAGTATGTATGATGTTTAGATAAAAATAAAACATTCTTTAAGATAGATTTGTATCTAGTAATCTAATGAGTATATGATAGGAATTTTTTTTCTCGTATAATTTTCTTACCGTGAATTTTCCTAAGTTGATGATTGAGTGATGTTACCTGTTTATATCTTACAGAATGAGAATGCCACAATTCAATCTGCTTTGAAACTCTTCCACACTAGTTCTTCCAGCTATCACAAAATATCTGGTACACTGGCAGGGTGTCAAACTACTTACTCTCTGCATCCCTTCACATCACCTTCATATAACCCCACGTGTAGGCGGGCATACCCAACTTATAGTCCAGTAAGCCATATGAAAGAAGGTCAGCAGTCATCTTCAACTGTAAGCATTCCTTCAAGTTTACATAATAGAATATCTCATTTGGAAAACTATAGAAGTCCACCTTCCATCACAAGTTTGACCTCACCAATGTTAAAAAAAAATTTCAAATTGCCTTCTAAACTAGCAGATAATAAGTTCTGAAAAATGCTCATTATGTACTTTCTACTATGTACCAAATAAATAATAAATATTTAATCTATGTAATTTTTTTTTAGTTAGAATGTGCTTTGTAACATATAACAAGTTTGACAATAAAAGTTTACATCCCACAGTATAGGTGTAAACATAATCACTGCCTGGCTTTAATAAAAAATCATAATAATAAAATATGACCTGTTAGTTTCAAACTCTAGGTTTTCTTCCTTCAACCAGTGACATCAGATAATAATCTCAACATTAGATATTCCAGTATGTTATTTTCCATCTTCTAAATTGTTTCATGAAACACACAGTCTGTTCCAATCCTTTGAAACATGGTGATTTCATGGATGTAAAGAGATCTTACATTATTTATTTTGTTGTTGCTATTGTGTTTTCAATAAAAATATTTGAATTTCATCATCAAAACAATTTCAACTTTATATTATGATTTACTTCTTTATTTAAATTGTTATTGTCCCATATGTTATGAACATGGCCAGAAGAAACTGTACTTGGAAATGTAAAATGATGACATGCAAATCTAAAAGACATTAATCAACATAAGATACCTAATGACAAGGTCTTTCTTCTTGCTCAGAGGGAATGAGGATATCGTGGTTGTATGGGTCAGGTAGATAAAGTTCTTCCTTTAAAGGAATCAAGGGCTGAGAAAAGAAAAGTATGGACAGAAAACAACTTGCAGAGCAGGAACAGCAGACTCTGAATGAAACTTTCATTTGTTGAAAGTCATCCAACAGCAGTGATGATGAGGTTTATGAGTATAACAACAATAACAATGATAAGAATAGAGGAGCAACTAGAAAATCATCATTTTCTAAACCTAAAAAAGAGAGCAAGAAAAAACATTATTGTTCCAAATTTAGCATCAGCTCTGACATAACAAAGTTGAGTGACAGAAGGCAACATTTGTCCTTACTGCCACAGCTTACAGCTTTGGTTGTGATGTGCAGGAGCTAACCAACAACCATTTCTCTATCCAAAAACCTTGATATCATTTCTATGGAGAACTTGTCAAAGGAACAATTCCAGCCAACAGTCTCACTTGTAGTTCACTGAAATGGCAAGCTTCTTAATGATACTACAGATAAAGAAAAAGTGGATCATCTGCTAGTGATCCTATCTGGAGCAGGAGTAATCAACTCTTAGGTGTTCTAAAGTTGATTTCTAGCACTGAAGAGGCTCAATCTTTTGCTGTGGCACGTTTACTGGAAGAGTGGGGGAGTCACTATCTTGTAAAGGCATTTTGTTTTGATACAACAGCAACAAGCAACACTTGTCATAGAAATGGAGCATATGTGCTGTTAGGAAAATGATTAAACAAAAATCTTCTGTATTTGGTACACCAGCATCAAATCTTAGAACTTGTCCTGGCATGTGTTTTCAGAGACTGTATGAGGCTTTCTTCTGATCCAGATATTGCAATTTTCAATTAATTCCGGCAATCTTGGGAATATATGGTCCAGTCCAGTTATGAAACTGCAGCTGATCATGATGAACTAGGAGAAGCTATAGAGGAAGTTAAGGACATTGTCATTGAGATTACTACAAGACAACTTCAGATCAGCCAACCTAAAGACAATTACCAAGAGCTTCTTGAACTAGCCATAACCTTTCTTTATGGTATCTCTCCCCATTGAGTGCATTTTTGTTGTTCAAGTCTATCTTAGGGTGTAGTTCACTGCTCCCGATGTCATTTCTGCTTCTCACAATGTTTTCTTAAGTATAAGAAGGTGAATTTTGCTCTTTCAAAATCTGCTTGTCAAAAATTTATTGAACATCTGTGACATCTCAATGAGGTACTCATTGGTTTGGCATTCTTTGATTCATTAATTTTTGAATGAAAATATAATTTCCTTTTATATATTTAAGTTATTTAAAAATATCTGTACTAAATACTTACAAGTAAATACATGTAATTATACTACATTTTACTTCAGTGTAATTTAAGTAATAGTGAATTAACAAAAAAAAATGTATTAAGCCATACAAATTATATTTAAGTAAAAATTCAATACTTTTCACATGTTACTACTAGGGCTATTTGTCTTGATTGCACCCAAACATACATGTAAGTTATAAGTTTTTGTTTTGTTTTTATTACTTTCTGTACTCTCTTTCCCCTTCTCAAGCCAAATAAAGTGGTTTATTCATTAAATACCAAGCACCTCAGTTGCACAGCAGTAAATCTGAAGGCTCATCTGGTGAGTGCAGCACAGGGAGACCATTGTGTAGCTTTGCGCTTAACTACAAAATAATAAATAAATACCAAAATCACTGATGTGGAGCTATTAAGATGAATTTATGTGACCCATGCACATATTAGTAGAAAGTATTAGAAACCTAAATTAATATATATTTAACAAGAAAAAATGTCAATGAATTTAGTTTCTTAAAAAAGTAAAATGAAAACATAAACTATAGTTTATAGTGATAGGCAGAAACAAAAGTTGTTAATTGTGGAATCCCAAATTCAAGAAAAACTATGATCTCTTCTAAACTGTGGAAGAAGAATAGATATTTAAAGTATCTTATATCCAACTAAGTATTGTAATTCCAAACATAATTGCATATACTCATTCATGCAAAGTAAGTTAAGTAAGTAACTCTTCAGTTGGTTTTTTTAAAGCATGTTAAAGGATCTTACTAAGATTTAGTAAGTGGTGGATACAAAATCAGTATGCAACCTTACCTTACAGAGTACCTGAACCAATAGCTAGGAAGTACTGAGAACTCCCACAGAAGGTTGGAACAGAACCTGGAAGCTAGAACTTTTTTGCATTCTTAAGCAAAGTTTTTTCACTTTTTGACAAATGACAAAAGTTAAACTTAGTGAAATTGCAGAATTTAATACTATTTTTGTAAGTTTTAAAATAATTTCAAATACATAATGTTGTATTGAAATCATTACATTTTCTTTATTTCAGTTTATAACAAAATTTTATTACAGAATATATTTGTCAAAAATTTTAACTATATGATTATCTAGAAAAAACTGAGTTATGCTGTTAAAGTCACATACTTTTCATTTGACAATTTTTCTCATTTCATGAAAGGTATTGACAGAATTAATTTCATGAGCCTGTTTTTTGTTTTTTTTACTTGAGTTTTTAGTGCACTGCCCATAACATGTAAGGTATTAAGGATAAGTTTGAGTTTCAATATTTTGAAACTCCTGGACACTGGTTAAATAGCAAGTAAATTTGTTAATTAAATCAATTTTATAGGAGCCAAAATAAATTTATTTATAGCAAAGTAATTTTATTCATTCAAGTTATATTATGCAATGTCTGGAGAATTTTTTGTCTTGAAATCCTAGGGGCCAATAGCTGAAGAGCAGTCAGAGTTCCAGGGCTCAGTGATTTATAGCAGTGGTACACACATTCCTGCATTTTTAGATGACCATACAGGTGCCACAGATTATGTGTATCCATGCTACACTTTTGTATTAATGCTGGTCAAGCTTTATTTGCTGCACAGCAAGGAGCACCCACGCTTGGTTGAGGTGCTTTAAATGCTGTTCTGGAGCTCCCAAAATGTTAACCATGGCATCCATCTACTAGCAAAATTTCCTACTTCATGGATTGACTTTGTTATGACAGAAATTTCTGTGGTCTCAACTGTTACATGGTGTCTAGTATCAGTACATTTGTTGAACAGACAAGGTCTCACAGTACAGAAAAATAATCCATCTACATTTCAGTGTTGTAGGCCCAGGCAATGCACAATGCCAAACTTAGAGAATAATATGTCCATATAGGATTATGTACTTTTATGTGATGTTACAAATGCTTTAATTACATTTAGTATGCACATTGTGTTCAGGGTTACTCACCATTATTTTTGTATCACTGTTTGGGATAATCCAAAAAAAAAAATTGTTTATGTGGAAAGTTCCTGATATTTCCTAAGAGTTGTGTTTGCCTATATAGAATGTTCTAGAAGTTTCTAACATTGCACAGTATATAGCATACTTATAGCTGTATTTTGCATTCATGGCAATGTTGCTAAGGCTATCTGCCATTGTCCTTGATTTCGAACTACTGACCAAAGGGAAAGCAACCAATAAACAGCACTCTACCTCTCACCACCTACACAAAGGGATTGACTATCACTATTATTTTATGGTATCACACCCATCAAACCAGCTCCAGAGCTTTATTACAGGGCCAACCATCGCCCATGTAGAAAGAGAGAGAGAGATTCCTAAACATTTCTGTTGCATTGAGAATTGTGTGGAAACTTCTGGAAGTATCCTATGCATTGTTGACTAGTAAAAATTGCTAGTTGGTTATTAGGTAGACCTACTGTATATATATATATATATTAATATATAAAGTAAGAAAAATCGTCAGTATTGTGGTGTTGGTAGTGAAATCAGTCTAGCTAGTATGTTTAATAATATAGTGGTGAACAATCAGTTGGATTATAGGGATGTTTCTTGTGGTGAAATAAACTCCTATCATATTTAGACATGGTATTCTCTTTGACCAATCTAAAAACATCCTGATGACATGTGATATCTACATCAATGAATGTTTTCTTGGCATACTGTTAGCTTGCTACAAAGGATGTGTTAGGGTGGTCTTCTGTATTTGTACTAAGTTTTCTTGCATTTTTAGTCTGCTAGAGTAAGCTTAGATTAAAATTAATTTTAATTGAAAGTCATATAAACAAGTTTATGGTAGGTGTCTTACAAAAATGCAAGATATTACAAAAGAGAAGGATTGAATGTCTACTATATATATATATATATATATATATATATACACACACTGAGTGGTCACAAGTAAATAGACACCTAAGTTTTCGTC